CGGGTACTCCGACTCTTCGTTTTAACCGCCATGAAAGATCCTTTGTCACCGGTTCTGTTCATCACTTTTATGGACAGAATTTCTAGACGCAGCTGTGGTGTGGAGTGTGTCGAGTTTGGTGGCAGGAGAATCTCGTCTCTGCTTTTTGCGGACGATGTGGTCCTCCTAGCTTCATCCAGCTCTGACCTTCAGCTCTTGCTGGGTAGTTTCGCGGCCGAATGTGAAGCGGCTGGGATGAGGATCAGCACCTCCAAATCTGAGACCATGGTTCTCGACCAGAAAAGGGTGGCTTGCCACCTCTGGGTCGGGGGAGAGGTCCTACCTCAAGTGGAGGAGTTTAAGTATCTCGGGGTCTTGTTCACGAGTGAGGGTAGGAGGGATCGGGAGATCGACAGGCGGATTGGTTCGGCGTCTGCAGCGATGCGGACGCTGAGCCGATCTGTCGTGGGGAAGAGGGAGCTGAGCCAGAAAGCCAGGCTCTCGATTTACCGGTCCATCTATGTCCCAATCCTTACCTATGGTCATGAGCTTTGGGTAATGACCGAAAGAACGAGATCGCGGATACAAGCGGCCGAAATGAGTTTCCTCCGTAGGGTGGCCGGGCTCAGCCTTAGAGATAGGGTGAGGAGCTCGGACATTCGGGAGGGACTCGGAGTAGAACCGCTGCTCCTCCGGATCGAAAGGAGCCAGTTGAGGTGGTTTGGGCATCTGGTCAGGATGCCTCCTGGACGCCTCCCCGGGGAGGTGTTTCGGGCATGTCCTGCCGGCAGAAGGCCCCCGGGTCGACCCAGGACACGTTGGAGAGGTTACATCTCCAATCTGGTCCGGGAACGCCTTGGGGTCCTGCCGGAGGAGCTGGTGGACAAGGCCGGGGAGAGGACGGCCTGGAGCTCCCTAGTTGGGATGCTGCCCCCGCGACCCGGACCCGGATAAGCGGAGGAAGACGAGACGGCTAAAGAGTAAGACACTTCGTAAACCAGTAGAGTACTACATAGCAGCTCTGTGTCAAAGTTATAAAAGCATCGAGCGTCTCGGCCACGCCTTGTGGCGAGTTGGGAGTTGGATTTGCAAGCGAGTGTAGGATGTTAGCCGTAGTTCAGCATTAGCGTATAGCGTTAGCATATCCTAATCTTTAGTATAGCGTTTAGTGTTATACATACTTATTTAGTGTTAGCTTGGCTGTTGGATATTGTAGTTTAGCTAGTGTTTGGCTGTTAGTGTAATTAGGAAAGTAGTTCGGGTTTAGTGCTCCATATCGTGTTAGTATGGTGAGAAGGTATAGTATAATGTGGTTGCAGTGGCTCTGTGGGGTTGCACTCCTTTCCGCTGGACTTAGAAATTAGGCGCCACTGGTTGCGTGCAATCGGTGTCTGGAAAACATTCAGCTCCCGCCTGGTGCTGTAGTTTGCAACTAGCATTTTACCCGCGATTCTGCACGTCTCCGTTTGAAGAGGGAGGCTGTGCCCACCGTGGCTCTTCCGTGATTTAGATGCAGCCCACTGACTCTGCTCCCCCACCATGGCGGGCTCCAGTCAGAGGTGAGTAAGCTAAATAAAAGTTTTAACATCTTCTAAAGACAATTCCCTAACTAAATGCAAAGTTTGAGAGACGTGGTTCACTTCCTTTAGCTAGTCAGTCGGTAATTCTGCAACAGTGGCTCTAACTGACGCAGCACTAGTTGACAGACAGCATTACAGCTTGAAATCCAGCTTGTGACCCGGTTCTGTAAGGAATTCTCTTCAGGAGGTCGCATTTCAGGCTCTCCACATCATATGGGACTGACTTTTACGTTATAACAACGATCACACACTAGGAATGTTATAAAGTGCCTAAATAGGACAGTTTCTTTTGTATATTATCTGACTTTATAAACTCCAACAGCAATGTGCTTCTATTTTTTTTTTCAGGCTAAATCTACCCAAGACACTGGCTGTCATACTGATTTAGCTGCAAGAATGCATTTATTTGTCCAGCCTGACGTGAAGCCTTACCAGCGTAGCAAAGGTGAATTATTTTTAATAATCTTCTATGTAAACATTTTATTATTACCTTCTAGTTTTAATTTGTTTTACAGATTATTGTTACACGTGATTTTATGCTCTTTTAAACATTTATAAATGTGCTGCTTATTTGTTTTATACATAGCCAGCCAGAAAAGAGCTAACAGTCGCTGTGTGTCTGGTGACACAGGGACCATGACGGAAATTAATCTTCCAGAAAGTCCCAGAGCAGCGTCCACACCCCTGAAAAGACCAAGATGTGAGGTGTCTGCTGTTGATTCCAGCTTCCACCTCAGTGACAGTGCAAGCTCAGTGAACTGTTCAAGGTAAAAAAAAAATTTAAACATTTCAGAATTTTTAAGATATTAACAATTAAATAAGTATGTGATTACATCATGACATCATGAAGGAGGCTACTGATTCTGGCCCTGTCACACTTGGTGGTGACGTATGAGCTGATTCACCTGGTAAATAAATTTTACATTAAATATTTTGTTTTTGCCATCAAACGTAAATTAACTAATAACTTGCATTATTGCAGGACACTGTAGCGGAATATAGTTGGTATATTCTTACACTTTATGAAGGTCCAGAGATTAATCTTTGGACCGGGTACTTAGAATCAGAAGAGGTTGTTTTTACCACATGGAATTTTATTCAAACACCTTGTATTGAGTTAGAGACAAGAAAAGAGAGATGGGACGTTTAAGAATATTTATTTTATAATTATTAAAAACAATCACCAGGACTAACTCTCTAATGATGGATGCAGATGAATGTGAGCTCAAGTGTTGGTGTGTGTGTGTCAGTTCAGAATTTCCATCTGACCGAGGCGAGTCTGAGGGCAAGATGTTGTTTTGTTTAACTAATGACGATGGATTTCAGGAGGACGGCATGAGACGCCATCTATGCCGACCTACGTACCGTTTCGGAGACCCCCGTGTAAGATCTGGATGCCAGGTCCTCGGACCCTCCTTTGGTGCTGGAACCGGTGAAACAGCGTCGCAGCACGACAAAACAGTCTAAGGAACGTCTCCCGGTACAACGGCAGGTTTCAGCATCACGTAGAGAGTTCAGCTTTTATTCTGAAGGAACCGTCATCTTGTTGGTAAAACGACAGAATTTTCCAGCTTGACAGTTCTCAGCTTAAAAGTAGAAAATACAGCTGGCCAGTCTGTACTTCTTTTAGCGATGATGGATTTGAGAGCTGGTCGAGTACTTGGTTGGAACTGCGTTGAACCAAGTTGAACTATGTTGAATGGTTTGTTGGAACTACGTTGAACTGAATTAAAATGGCATTGTTCTGTTTTATTAAGCTTAGTTGTTTATGAATCTTAGCCAGTCGGAGTGGACAGATTAACTAAGCACCACAGAGCTCTGCCACGCATCAGAAAGGAAGTTCTGATTGGATGAGTGAACAATGTGTCATGTGGTTACCTTATGTGTATCAGAATGTCTAGCTCAGTTAGTCCAAAGTCCTGTTATTCATTAAACACCTAAATCATAACATTGTGATTTCACAGATCAGTCACCTGATTATTACTGACCAACAGTTGTTTTGATTAGCTTTATTAAAAATAAAGTTCTTTGATTAACTAATGAAAAGCGTTCTTCGTCCTTCTTCTGTCTTCTTTGCTGGAATGTAAACATCACAAGCAAGTGCACGACCATGGCAATTTATGCACACTGTCACTGTGTTAAAGGGCAGCTGTTAATGGCAGAAATGGCATATTCATAACGCTGCAACACTCAGCAAAATATGGACTCTACACCATGAGGCAGGCACACGTTAATACTCTCTATAAGAGCACATAAGGTGAGCAACACCACATATTATTGTACACTGTCCTGGATTTGTTTTCTTTCTGCATTATTTGTTTTCTTTCTGCATCTCATCATTAACCTGGCTGATCACCTGATAACTCCTGTCATCTGGTTGTGACAGCATGAGGATGTCCTCACACACCTGTAACCTTTCAGCTCATCTGGCAGAATAGAGAGAGATGAGACAACACCACATCTCCTGTTCCTGGAAAGCCTTCAGCCATCCTTCGATGACTGAGAACCTCCATCAGCTCTGTCTCCTGTCTGCCTACAATTATTATAATAAATAGTGTGTTTGACAAGTTTTTTGTGCTGCCAAATATCTCATTTAGATTCCAGTTTTGATATTTTAATGGATATTTATAAATTACATTGATTGAATTATCACATTGTTGCATGTTTAACTAGCTCTATTGTGATGAATTAAACTAGCACCTCAGTGTTAAAAGCTCGTTTTAATTTCAAGCATGTTAAGTATTTATGGACATGAACAAAAACAGGAAATATATAAATTGAGATTTATTTAATTAATATAACAAATAAAGGGGAAAGAGTCATTGAAAGGCACATTCTTCTGGAAGCTCCTGATCCTGACAACACCAGCAGAGACCACCTGCAGACACCAGAGGACCTACAACCAAGAGAGCAGCTGGTATCAGTAAATAAAGAAATCAGGGCAGTTTTAGTGGGCTGAACACATTACAGAATAATTTTCTCATGGCGTATTTTTATAACTTTCTATGCGGCAGATTGTAACTTGAGCCCAGGGCTCCTGGAGAGCTGCTATCCAGCACGTTTCAGTGGTTTTCCTGCTTTAACAGGTTGGATTAGCTGTTAAGCAGCTCAGCTATTTGTTGCTGATTAAAACCAGGTGTGTTGAAGCAGATAAATCTCCAAAACATGCTGAATACTAGCTCTCTAGGGCCGTGGAGCCAAACCCTGCAGCTAATCCAATGCTATGGCTAACGGCTACTTACCATTCAGAGCTGGTTCTGTTGGGTCGGTTCCGCTAGTTTCAGGCAGCTCACAAGCTCAAAACAATAAGGCACAGGTCCACTTGTCTCCTCCAAATACACTTGGTCCCTTTTTTCTCATGTGTCTGGGTAAGGTGGGGGAGAAACGTCCTCCACTTCTAATAACTGCTCAGAATGAAGGGAGCTAGCATCGTCTAGTTAGCCATCGTCTTCATCACTGCCGCGGCTCCTCCCTCTCGGTCCTCCAGGCAGCTTCTACTAATGTTGCAGTTTTTAAAATTGATACGTGGGTGGAGAAGGACTCTGAGGGGGGCATTACCACTTCTTTAAAAAGTTATGTTACTGATCCTTTCAAAATATTCTCACGAAATAATTTGTATTTCGTTATCTGACTAGTTAAAAAATAAAATACGTTTTGTTTAATTTTCAGGATGTCACTTTTTTCCTTGAACTTTTTAATAATTAAAAAAAATGTAATAATATTGATCATAAAAGAAATCAACTTGTGAATGCAATGCATGTTATTATAGTAAAATAGTATTTCATAAGCTTATTCACACATGGAAAGTATCTATGTGAACTAATCGTACGTTCATTGTGTAAAAGTAGCTCACATGCCAAAAAAGGTTGGAGATCCCTAAAATATATAAATAACTTTTGAGGTTTTAACTTTTTTGTTGTTTCAAGTAAGTGAGGATGGTGTCCTAAAGCCCCCTATGGACAGGCATCTACTAGTCCATGGAGACTCCTGTCTAACATCATATGATGTTAGCCTGTTTTTGTTGCCTTGATGTTTTTGGCCACAAGGGAAGAGTAATGTTAGTGCTCAGATCAAATAAGAATTGTGTAACAAAAATAAAGGATAAATGATCTGTGTGACAGGGTTCTGCTCAGACAGCAGTATCCATCTGATGATGGAGATACAGATTGGAGTTGAGTTCTGTTTTCCACAACTCAACAGGTCCTGCAGGAGGCCAACACCTCACTGGTCTGAAGCTGTCCTCCTGAACATCGTGTTGTCCTTCTTCTCTCTGATCACAGCAGTTCTAAACCTCCTCATCATAATCTCAGTCTCCTGTTTCAGGCAGATATTAAAAAGAAAAACATCACATTTATCAATATTTTTATCTGATCAGAATGTGATTCTACGCTGCATAAGTTATTTTAACCTCACTGACTGACTTTGTTTCCTTGTAGGAAGCTCCAGAAACCTGCTAACATCCTCATCCTCTCTCTGGCTGTGTCAGATTTCTTTGTTGGCTTTTTAATCATTCCATTTGAAATCTTTAGAAAGACAAAATGCTGGATGATTGGTAATATCACATGTTTATTTTACTATTATGTTGCCATTTTGTCTGTCTGTGCTTCAACTGGAACCATTGTTCTCATATCAGCTGATCGCTATGTGGCTATTTGTTACCCTCTGCATTATCCCACCAGAATAACCTTACCAAGAATGAAATGTTGTGTTTGTCTCTGTTGGAGCTGTGCTGCTTTCTATGTAACTTGCTTGTTAAAAGATGAGCTGATTGAGCCAGGCAGGAGTAATTCCTGCATTGGAGAATGTACAGTATCTGTTGACTATTTTGTAGGAACTTTTGATCTGTTTATAACCTTTTTATTTCCAGTTACAGTCATCATAGTTCTGTATATGAGAGTATTTGTGGTGGCTGTGACTCAGGCTCGTGCCATGTACTCTCACAATAGAAGTGTCACCCTTCAGCTTTCAGTGCAACAACAAACAAAGAAATCAGAGCTAAAAGCAGCCAGAACACTGGGTGTTCTTGTTGTTGTGTATCTGATGTGTTTCTGTCCATATTACTGCTGCTTTTATTTTATAGATAGTTTTACAACTACAACATTTATATCATTCTTGTTCTTTCTCATGTATCTTAACTCCTGTCTAAACCCTCTGATCTATGCCATGTTTTATCCCTGGTTCAGAAAAGCTGTTAAACATATTGTAACTTTACAGATCCTGAAGCCCGGCTCCTGTGAGGCCAACATACTGTAGATACTGTGGACTGAGGGACGTACAACCTCCTAAACAATTTACAATTTCAAAATCTAAAGTCCAGTTGTTACAGTATGAGTGTCCTGTCAATGTATCCTGATTGATCATGCGCCCTAGCTACTTGGCGAAGGGGATGTCCCTTTGGTTCACTAGTTAATGCGTGTGACTGTCATCGAGAGTCTGAGTATCAAATCCCGCCCGGGCTCTTGTTTCTCCACCTTGCCACACAGTGAAGGAGAAAATAGTTTTCTTCAGTCTCTACATTGTAAACATAAATATACGTATAGAGCAGGGCCGGTTCTAGGCTGGCATGTGTGAGGGGGCAGACAGAATTGTAAAAGGGGCAGATTGTGGTGATGGAAGAGGAAAAGGCGTATGTTGGTAGTGAAGGTACTGTGGGGGACTTAGTCATGTGACTGGATTGTATTTTGTTAGATTTTGACCTTCCCTTTCTTTCTCTGTCCCTGAAACCCTTATTCATGTGTTCATCACATCATAACTAAACTACAGCAATAACATCTAGAGGTCAACCGATATGCTGAAAACACAAAAGCAACATCTAAAGGTGATTCATTCTTTGTTTAAGTCACTATTTCCTAACATCTTCACCTGAACTATAAATTAAACCTGATGAACAACGAGCCTGCAGCTGAAGCCTTGGGCCTGGTTCGAATGAACAGAACACTGCAGTTGACTTCACGAGACACTGACCTCTGTTCTCCTCAAAAGCAGGCACTCACTCACACACATGAGCAGCTGGGACGTTGATGTTGTAAAAAGAATAGAAAAAAATGTGATTTAATGAACTGCTGCTTAAGAAATGAGAACTGAAACTACAAATGTGGGTGGAGTTGTTATTGTTATGTGTTACTCACTTGTATTTAACCTTTGTAAATGTATAAACCTGTACCCACATTGTCTTACCAACAGGAGATGTTCCTAAATGTGTTAAAGGTCATGCATGATATTCAGGAAGCTGAGGTCACAAGGGACAGGAAATACTTATAAGTGCAGGGACAGCGTCAGGAGTGAACTAGGAAAGATGAATGTATGAGGAATGTATGTTGATTGAAGCTTTTGGAGATGACTTGGAAGATTCCAGAAAATGTAGGTATGAAAGAAATGACGGGACAAATATCACCGGCACTCTTAGCGGAGAGCCCATAGAGGGGCTCTTACTTAGAGAGACCGTAGACAAGGGTTAGATAACTTGCAGCTTATAAGAGGATAGTTCTAGCCTGGTAAATTAGACTAAACAAATATATTATATAGTCTGGCAATGCTCCATTGATGGCTGTCAGTCATGGGGTGGGTTCTAACGTCTATCATACAATCTGCGCATGCTACTGGACAACGAACAACGTGACTTGCTCACCACAACAGATGACAGTAAATGAGGCAGTTTGCTGTTGAAGAAGGCAAAAATACATCCTTTTTCTAAATAAAGGACTTAAACACATCTATCTGCTCCTGATTCTAATGAAGCCCAAGTTCTAATAGTCCAAAATTGATGTAAAAGCCATTTGAAATGAGCTGTCGCCATTTTGTTCCACTCCGTCACATCATCCCGCCTAGGGTGACCAGATGTCCCACTTTGTGCGGGAACGTCCCACATTTTCATTACTTTTCACGTGTTCCGCAAATTGAGACTCATGTCCCGCATTATTGACAATTTCCCGTTTTGAGATTCAATCTTATAGAAGACACTTTGGAGAAATCTGCCCGTTGCTGTCAATCAAATGGAGGTGGGACTTCAACGCGGATCCGGAGCGTGTGTGGAGCGCGCCCGCATCACCAAAACAAGCGTGAGTGAGCACGGAGGAGAAAACGCTGTAAACTCGTGAATTAAACGTTTTCAGAGACACTCGACAGAGTCTTTGTTGTTTCTGAGTCATTTCTCATGTCTTGGCGCGGAGTCTGATGTGAAGAGGTCAACAGCATGTTTTCCAGTAATTAGACAGGTCCACGATGAACAGAATAGAGGCTCTACCACAGACAAGGTGCTGCGGTTTCAGATACCTGCGTACATGCTGAGCCCCTTAAAGCACAGTGAAGTAATAATGAGAATAAATGGAAGCTTTGATCACTGATTCTCAGAAATTTGAGGCAAAAAGTAACTCTAAGAAACTCTATTAGTAGATTAGATCTGAATGTTTTAGAGATTAGAATCTGATGTTTATTCTCTCACCTAAAATTAGAGTAGATTTGTGGTCATGTTTGAAAAATCATTTTGTTTCTGAATAATTAAAAAAAATAGCTCAAAAGTATGGATATTTTTTCTATGAGATGCTGATTTTAGTGGAAAATTAAATAAAAACATAAATAGATAAATAATGTTATGTATATGTAACAGTGATGTTAGGGCTAAAAGGCAGAATATACGTTTCGTTTGTTTTTTTCTCATTACATTGGAACTTCACGTTGTCCCACATTTGGCTAGTCGGGATCTAGTCACCCTAATCCCGCCCACCAGAGTGGATAAAGTGCTGTGACTGGCCCACCATTGTGAATCAATCACAGCACTCTATTTGTCTGAATCCCCTATAGAGAGCTGTGATTGGCTAGCCAAATGCTGCTAAGGGCTGCGGAGATTCCAATAGGAAGCCTAACTCACGCCCATCTACTTCCGGACCATGGGTCCCCAGAAGAACTAAAAATGAATGCAAGTCAATGTGGCTAAAAACGATATTTTCTAATTCTGCTTATTATGTGCCATGGATTTCACAGATGATGTCAGTGAATTTTAAAGGATCACTTAGATACCAAGAACTCACTTATTTTCAAATGGGGGGAACGTTATTTTATGTTTTGTGTGAATAAAAGTCCAGGATTACAAATGCGCATCACCAAAGTAACGTCATCGAACCTGACACAAAGAATAACTGAAGGAAAATGGCTGTAAGTTCAGTAACCTTCAAATCCGTCTTTCAGGAGGAAAGAACCACCAAAAATCTGGCCATGTGGTAAGCAGCAGTTATGTTAGGAGAGAGGAGATTATGTGGTGACATTAATGATGAAAGGCAAATGATTATGAATGGTGATTCACAGTGATATTAAATAAGACAATGAATGAACTCTGATGAAACATGACCTTGTACGTTTCAAGAGTTATCTAAGTGGCTCATAAAGGTGTGACGTCTGGGTTTATAAAATAAATTGGGCTGTTTGTTAGATGTAGTTTAACAAGTTATCAAATTAAAAGCAACCACTCTGACACCATTGTTTAGTCTACGCACCTGGATCGTGGAAGCTCTTGGAGGTCCGGTCTGCAGGCAAAGCCGTCTCACAAAGCGAGTGAGTGGACTCTGATGTATCTAAAGATTGTAGGCCCCCTCAGTCTATACACGACTGGTCAAAAGATACTTCCCAGGTGGATTCTGGCGGACAGTTTCATGTCTGATGAGTGGGTGTTGGATTGAGCAAATAATTGTTGATTCAAAAAGGATGGTTCATATGCCGCTAAAATTATTCCACTGAAAAATCTGGTTTGATTCCCCATAGGATGGTTATTTAGCATGAACTTTGAGCTTTGGATGAACGCGGATCTCTGGCGGAACTGGAGAAAATAGGAAGTGATTCCACTTTTAATTAAATGGTTGTTTGACCAACAAGATCTGAGAATTTTGAATGGGCATTTACCAAGACCCTCAAGCACTCCCCTTTCTGTGATGCTTAGAAAGCTCATTTCATTTAGAATATGGTGGTGTAACATTAATTTGATAATACAGAATATGATTGTAAGCAACCTTTGGATTGAAAGAAATCATTTATGAGACCAAACTACGAATAATTTTATTCAAAGATTAAAGTCTCGTCTTCTGCATGGACCTTGGCGTTGCAGCCATCGACATACATATATGGAAAATGGGTTTCCATAGATCAAATAACACGTTTTTGTACTAAAATTGGAGGTGGCCACCACCGCCATTTTGACCGTGTCACAGGTTCCGTCGAGCCCAGACAATTCCATAACAGGGAAGAGTGGAGGAGCTGAGGGTGGGGCTGTAAGGCTGGGATCAACTGACGGCACCCAGTCGAACTAGCTACAAGCTAACCTGAAGCTAACCCAAAGCTAACGCGGAGGTGGGAGCTAAGCTAACAGAGGTAGCAACCTAGCTACAACCGGAGTTAACTGTACACTTCACCAGAGCTTCTGAGTCAGAGATACGCCAGGCTGACCGCTGGGTAAAACCGGGTGGAACACAGAGGTCTCCGAGACCTCCACAAACCGGCAGCCGCACAGCAGACAAGCACCGCTGCGATCCGAGATGCGCAGAGCTGCCGCTGGGGAGAACCGGATGGAAAGGTTTCCGTCCCAGAGCTCCACAAGCCGTCAGCCCGCGCAGCAAACAGAAGCCGCGATCAGACAGAGATGCACCGAGCTGCGGCAGACCCGGCGCCAGAGGACTTTTCCCTGGAGGGGCAGTGGGTTTATCTGGGGGCCCCAGTAATAAACCGTGTTTTTTTTTCAACCCCTTTGCATGTTTATAATCTGTCTGATGGACGTTACATACATATACTTCCGAGTCAAATCCGTTGTTTTGCGTCACCAACTTGTTCCACATAACTAACTGAAAAACTAAGATTCTTCATTGTTTTATTCCGATTATGTATGCCAATTAAAGATGCAATCAAAACTTAAGACAAAGTAACCAATTTTACTGAACCAATACTTGCAACTCCCCGTTCTTAGCTGCGCCTGCGCACCACAGAGTCACCATCTCAAAACAATCCTAGCGTCCAGTTAATGTTCTCCAATAACGTACTTAGTCCAAAAGTCTTCTTCCAAATCCTGCCCTGTAGCTTTATACCTTAGTAAATTCTTCTTTTTGCACGTATTTCTCATAATGTTTACATCAGAAATACTAGTTAGCATCAGGTTAGCATGCTACTTCTTGGCTGCGTGCTTCTTCTTCTTCTTGGTAAACAATGACTTGGTGCGTTACTGCTACCAGCTGGTAAGAAGTGTAACCTAGGTCTTCTAAACAAGATTTAGAAAATCTTGAGTGTTTTC